AGTTTCTGTGAGCCCCCAAGCGCCCAGGTTAGTTGACTCTGTAGGTCTGCTTAGTGTCCCTGACCTTTCCAACTCTCTAGGTCTTCTTCTGTTTTTGACCATTCCAGATTGTTTAATTCTAAACTCCACTCTTTTATAACAGTACCAAAGCTCCACCTGAAGTTTGGCTGTGAGGTTCTACATCTGTTTTCATCTGCTGCTGGATGAAGCCTCACAGGAGACAGTTATACTAGACTTCTGCCTGTATGTAGAGTAGAGTATCATTAATACTCTGGGGTTGGCTCTCTTGCAGGGGATGAGTCTCAAATTAGGCCAGTCACTGATTGACCATTCCCTCAATCTGGGCTGTCTTTATCCCTGCATATCTTGTAATCAGGACAAACTTTGGGTTGAAGGTTTTGTGGGTGGGTTGATTTCCCTCTTCCCCCACTGGAAGTTCTGTCTGGTTATAAGAGGTGGCCATTACATTCTCCACATCCCCTACTGGTTGTAATTTCTGATAGGGACACCTCCATAGACTCCTGGGAGCCTCCTCAATCCCAGATCTCCAGCTAGTCCCAGAGTTGCCACAAACCCATTTCAGTTCTCCCAGCCCCACCTTACCCCATTTCCCAACACCTGAATCCCATCCCCACTCCCTTGAGCTGTCAGCCCCTGCTATCCAGTTCCCTACCTCTGTCTACCTCCAAAGTCTATTTTTCCTTGAGTGAGATTCACACATTCTACCTTGGGCCCTCCTTATTACTTTGTTTCTTTGGGCCTCCAGATTGTAGCATAGTTATCCTATATTTTATGGCTAATGTACATTTATAAGTAAGTACACATCATCCATTTATTTCTGTGTCTATATCATCTCCTTTGGAATATATTCTACTTGCACTCATTTGCCTGTAAATTTGATGTCCTTCTTTTTTGGTAATAGCTGAATACTACTCCATTGTGTAGATGTGTCACATTTTCATTATCCATTCTTCAGTGGTGGGAAATTTAGGTTGTTTCAGTTTCTGGCTATTATAAATAAAGCTGCTATGAACATAGTTGAGCAAATGTCTTTGTGGGATGGTGGAACATCTTTTGGGAGTACCAGGAGTGGTACAGCTGGGTCTTGAGGTAGAACTACTCCCAATTTTCTGAGAAACAGACAAATTGATTTCCAAAGTGGTTGTACAATTTTGCACTCCTGACAGCAATGGAGGACTGTTCCCCTTCCTCCACATCCTTGCCAGCATGAGCTATCACTTGAGTTTTTGTTCTTAGACATACTGACCTGTGTAAGATGGAATCTCAGAGTTGTTTTTATTTGCGTTTCCCTGATGACTAAAGATATTGAGCATTTCTTTCAGTGCATCATGGCCATTTGATATTCCTCTGTTGAAAATTCTCCATTTAGCCCTGTACTCCATTTTCAATTGGATTAGTTTTTTTTTTTTTTTTGCAGTCTAATATCTTGAGTTCTTTATATGTTTTGAATATTAGCTCTATGTTGGATGTAGGGTTAGTTAAGATCTCTTCCCAATTTGTAGGCTGCCATTTTGTCCTATTGATGGTATCCTTTACCTTGGAAAAACTTTTCAATTTCATAAGGTCCCATTAATTAATTGTTGGTCACAGTGTTAGAGCTTTCTGTGGTTTTGTTGTTGTTGAGTTCCAGGCCAGACTGGTCCACAGAGCATGTTCAAGGATAACAAAGACTACACAGATAAATTTTCCCCAAAGGAATCTGCCCCTCCAAAACACAGCATTTACTCGCTTGCTAGAGAATTTAAGCCTCTATAGAGGGCAAGTGTCTTCTTTCTCACTAGTCTTTATTCTATGGATCTGTTAGAACACAGTTCAAGAACAGAATCCTGTGAAAATTCTGAGTGCTTGTGAGAAAACTCCAAGAAATTCAGACACAGGTCTGGTGACATCAGTTTCTTCAAAAGAGAACAGTTCTAGGAATGTATTTGCCTTTTCCTCCCAGGTGTAGCAGGTAAGTTTATTTCAGCTTATTCATTACAACTCTCTCTATGGAAAAGCATTCTGTGCCACCTGGCTTATCCTTGTGATTCTATCCTCCTCTTGTTCTTGGTTTTATAGACAGGGTTTCTCTGTGTAGACTTATGTCGAACTCACTTTCAACCAGACTAGCCCTGCATCCATAGAGATCCATCTACCTGTGACTCAAAATTACTGGGATTAAAGGCATGAAGCACCACCACCTGTCTCAAGTAATTCATCTTAACCCTCAGAATACAAACTGATGCTCTGAATAACGTTGGTGTTTGCATGAGAATTCAGTCTGCCTCAGTTTTTAGGTCCCACTGTCCCAGCTTCATGCAACCATCTAGAGCAGTAAACAAATTGGATGACTGAACAAATATTTAATTCTCAGAACTTTGTAGTCAGTGAGTCTTGAAAATATCAGTGTAGTGAGAATACTTTAGGATTACTAGTGGGTGACTTTTGAGTTAATGGGGCTGACTTATATTCGAGATGGAGGCTGTTTCATTTCAGTAAAATCTAAAAGTAGCACTTGCATCCCACCTACTTTCTCCTAGATTATTTTGTACTGTGTCTATAACAAGTGGAAATTAATAACATGTTATGAGAAGTCAAGTGGTATTTCAACATATGTTTTGTCTCAATTTCTCCCTAGATGAATTAAAAACAAAATTCAACTGACAATGATCACGCTGCTGTCCTCATTTCACACACACATAAAGAATTAAATATTGTGAAATATGCCAACCAGTTTTACTAAGCTCTTAACCTGCAGAGAAATGGCTTGCAATTAGTGTTACATTAGAATTGTCACAGCTAAGCAATTTATAAATCAGTAGGAGGACTTTAACTGATTTTGTGCTTCATGCACACACTGAACATGCAGTTAGAGTAATACACAGGAATTAAAATTACAATTGAAGTGTCAGACAGTAAATGAAAAGTTTTAATGTTCTGTCTAGTGAGAGAGCTAGTAGCAAGTTTATGAAGAATACAGTGAACAAAAGTCTTATCTGTGGCCAGGACTTTGCCAAGGCAATATACAGTTTTTCTTGGTTATTGAAACATTACTTAAATGAGACTAAAAGGGAAAACTGTATTTGAGATCATGCAAGAATCTGCCTATTTTCCTGCTGTGGCAGTCAATCTGAAATTTTGCTGTCAGGAAAACTTGTACACAATAAATGATCCTAATTATCTCCTCTTAATATATTACACTATTATGAAAGGAATTGTTCACTTCCATTTAAAACCTAAAAGACAGAAAATTCGAGCTTGATAAATTTATAAAATAAACCATTATGCCAGCAGAAAAGGTTGAGTGGCAATCCCTGTGAAATTAGGTTGGTGGGCTTTCTCTAGCTTTGAGGTCATCCCATGAGTCACTCCAGAAAATGAGCACTGTTTTAATTGAGGCTGTCACTGCTGGTTTGGTACTTCACTCTCTCGCCATTAACAGAAGACACTGCACCCTTTGCCATGAAATGGTCGAAATGTCCAATCAATCCACGATTTTGGGTGACTCTTCACATAGGGTGATCTGGATAGTCCATGGAGACTCCTCACATGGGGACTGAAATGAATTTCATCTGAGCCTACCTGCTCTTTTGTCTATTGTTATTGTGAGACTATATCCAGGCTAGCTCACTGAGAGGCATAGGATGCCGTTGTGAGTTAACTCAAGCCAAGTCCAGCATAGGTCAGCCAACTTCAAGACCTATCAGCAAACTAACTGTTCCCTTTGCCACAGGTGAATGGAAATGAATACTCATTTGTTCTTTGTGCTTTGAGATCATCCTTTCCTTTCCTGTCTTTCATTTGTAAAATGAAGGGCGTAACTGAGACTATTAAAGTTCACTCCATACTTTAGGGATTCAGATAATTAAAGGTCTAGAAGTTGGGGCAACTCCTCAGCTAGTGCTAGAATGTGCTGATACTTTCTTTTCAGTGATACAAAGGTGTTCAGCTATAAAAGGAGGGCCTGAAAAGCCTGGGACACAAAATGTCTTACGAGTTCCCCAATAAGACCCATTTTTTCTGCTTTTGAATTTTGGAAACTAAGTTTTTCCCATAGACTAGACTGGAATAATCCTGTCTCAGCCTGTTGTGTCATAGACTTTTCCTGGGAAGACGAAACAGGCACACACATCACACATAGCATACCCACACCATGATACAAACCATATCTACCCCTATCATGTATGTATGTGTACACACACACACACACACACACACACACACACACACATCATTTATTCCAGAAAGAAAAATCCACAATAGACCAATGTATACAACTTAGCTAACCAATGAGTTTTGCTGAGGTTTTTAAAAGGAGTATGGGTAAGGGTTACTTATAAGAGGGATGACTCAAGAGCAGTTTTATAATAAAAAAAATTGCAAACCTAAAACTGTACAGTTTGTAGACAGGTAGTCCTGTGATACTTACTCTGTTAGCAATTCTTCTAGGCTTTGCCCAACAGTTGCCTAGCAACAGCCAGGTAGGGTTTGCTATAACAGGACTGTTTGTTTCTTCCCCCTCCTCTGTTCCTACTGATCTCTTCCCTTCTTTCTCTCTGTTTTCTCTTTCTGTTCCTCTGTCCCTTTCCCACACTCCCTTCTCATGCCCCCAAATAAACTTCATTGGCTGGTACCTGGCGAGGGGTGGGAGGGAGATCCCTCAGCATGGGCCTGCTGAGGTAACCCCTCCCACTGCATCATGCCACTGAATTACAAAATGTATAAAACTCTCCTTTGTATCTTGGTTGGTCAAATCTACTTGCCAAGCTAGTAAGGGGCCTTTGAAAGCCTTCCCAGTTTCTGCTTTTATAGCCATGTAAAAACTGACTTCTGTTTACCTCTGAAGTTTCATAAGCAGCCCCCTCCTTCACGGAGGGTGAGTTTTAGAGAACATTGATAGGCAATAGTCACCCAAATGATGAAAAAAGTGTATGCAGCACCACACCTCCCCGAAAGCTCATTCTCATTAACCCTGAACAAAAAAGCAAATACAGAAGACAGGACAGGAGAAAACAGATTTTAATTTTTAAATACTAATACATTTCCAGGCTGTTTTGCAAAGAAAAATCATGTTACATTAGTTTAAAACTATGCATTAAGTATATTTCTTTAAACTCTAATTTTTACAAACACATAATGAAAGAAATATATATTTTATAAATATCTATTCAGAACAGGAATTATGAAGTGTTCAAAATATCAGGCCAAGATTTTTCCTCTGTAAATATATAAAATTCCCATATACTTCATATGAATTCCTCTTCAAGAGCAAAAAATTTCCTCTTATAAAGACCAACTCAGTTTTCAGACACAATCAAAAGTAATAATATAAAAAAATGGAAAAGTTCTGTACAAGGGAATACAGATAGCACACAGGTAAATTCCATTACCATACATGCCATTTGTGTTTTAAAAATGTTTTATAAAAACTGCCGCTTAAACAAATGTGAGTGAGAATCATTCCCTGGCTGTGGAAAATACATAAATTGTCACTCTACCTCTGGGGTGATGAGGCTTCCACTGAGGGAGTTGGGGAAAGGAATCTCCAAATATGTTCCCTGAGGAGGGACCTGAGCCGAAGAGAGGGAACCTCCTCTTCTCTGGCAGGAGTTTTATCTAGTGGACCATTCACTGTTATTTCCCTTCACTTAGGAATATTCTTTGGGGTCAAACAAATGACTGAGGGGTGATCAGATTACAGAAGCAACTAATAGGTCTCTTCTTGGTTGCTTGGTAACCAAACTCTAGAAGCCTGATTTATTACCAACACCAGAGAAGCACCCTCCACCTGTCCCAGTGCGTATCCCGTACCCCAAGGCTGTCCCTTTGACTTCCCTCTTCTGGTCTGAGTTGCACTGTGGCTGCTGCATGTTATCAACTACTGTCTCTTCTGGCACTTCTTCTGGAAAGAACTCTTCAGGAAAGTACGATACACAGGATCATCCACATACTCATTCTTCAGCCTGGAGCTCAGCACTCTTTGCCTCTTCCTCTCTCCTTGAATTACATCTGCCCCATAAAACGTGTCTTCAAATCGCATGTCAGAGGCTGTGGACTAAATGCAGGAATATATTATTGGGTACAGAAATACTAGACACAGATCTAGGGAACAGAGGCTAGGATCTATCACAGGGTAGAAGGAACCTACCACAGAATCTTATTCTTCCTCACCAGCTAGTTTTCAGGCATACCACATGTGGCTCTATTTAGTCCCAATTTCTTTATCCAGACTGAGGGAGTTTCCCCAAACAAAAGCAAAATTAACGTCTTTTCATATTGAGTCTACTGTAAATGAAAACTCCTAAAAAGAAGCTATGTCTGTAGAAACCGACTGACTAGAATTGGAGGAAGTGCTGTGGTGAGAGGAAAGTGATCCAGGCCTAACAGCTCATCACTAGCTCTAGCCCTCAGAACAGCAGCCACCCACGCCTTCCCACTTCTGTGTTGCATGGAACATCTTGTGACTCACAGATAAAAAACTTTTTGGAATCCATTAACTTAGCAGATCACTAGCTCCCACCAACCCCAAAGTTAATGATGTCATCATAGCATCTTGGGCCTATAGAGAAGCTCCCCCCTTCTTGCTATATTGACCTCTCTGATATTCCCACTAATGTATTTAAATCTTGCTAAGGTATTTAGACTTCCTTTGTCCTATAAAACTATAAAACTTCATGAAATGGCTTCCATGTTGGAATATGAAATTTTAGTTGTCCTAAATCTATGTTCTTGAGTCACAGCCATGTCCCTTTTAGAATGGGAGCTGCAAATTTTACATTAACACTTGCTTAGTCACCATCTCCTCTTGGCTTCTGTGCCAACAGGTTTGTCTTTTTTAGGGAGTGGCGTTGTCAGCAGTCATTCTTAATTCATGCTGAATCCTATTCTTTGTTCCTTTAGCCTTTCTCCACTTCCTTGAAGCTAGTGTGGTTAAATCCCTAGTTCCTAAGTCCTATAGCAGTTCTGTGTTGCTTAACTACTTCACTTGCTGCCTGTTTGCTCATTTTTGATGTTTCAGACTTCATTGTTTTAGCTATCTATTCAACTTTGGGGCCTTTGATCCATATTCTTGGCGTCATTTCCTGTACAGACTCCAAGGATGACTGGATTTCTCACTCTAGCTTAGATCTCTTACATTAAGATCTGCATGTACCTCTGCCCAATAGGTAGGTACCTCAGACTACTCCAGATGGTCTTCAAATTATTCTGTATAAAATGGAACTAAAAGACTTCCTCCATAACTGCCCGTCTTAAGTTTCCTAATTAAGTTTCCTAAATGTCAATACCATGCTCATCTGTACAATCATTTGTCAAAAATTTAATGGTACTGTGGATTCTCTCTTATTCCCATTCGGCCAGGAGCCCTCCATATACTTGAAATAGCTGTGATCCTGACGCAGGGTCCTTCCCTTCTCCTTTTGAACCACTACAACAAATGCAGCAGTCCCAGTCTATCTCCCATTTAACTCCTAGAAAAAAGAGCTCTCTAGAAACACTAATTAAATAATTAAAGGGGGCTACATGTATTTATCTACAGCCTTATCGTCTACCTGTCCTCAAGAATACCTGCACATCCCCAAGCCCAGACTTTTACAACCTAGCACATCCAACTTTCTTCTTTTAGAAGATTAAATTTTATATTATGAGCCATATATGAAGATCTTAAGTTTACTGTCTGGGATAGTTTTTCTTCCATCAAAGAGTCTCTACTACAGAAAAGCTGGAGGGTTCCTACGAGCCCTGAACATGAATGCAGGGATAATCAATGTTCTTCCCATTGGGTGTTTCTTAAGGTAAAAGATATTAGGAATTATAAACTCAATGTATATCCCAACATTAAAGAACAGGCATAGAACTCAGCAACTCTTTAGTAAGTGATTAGGGAAAAGTGAGGCTGTGCTGAGATACTCAAGTAAAGACAAACCTAGATTCAACACTAAAACACCAACTTTCATTCCTGATTCCCTAAGCTGTTTTGCAATCTAGAATTTGTTCTCCACTGGTTTAGGTGAGGGGTATGACTTCTAATGACAACAACAAATAGAATATCTGAGGTTTGATAACAAAGTAGATAGACTGTTACTCTTTTAGGAGTTGAAAACAAATGGTCCATTGTGAAGAAGAGAGGAAAGGGAGCAGACAGAAGGAAGCCTGAAATTTGGAAATGTTTCAAGTTCGCAGATGCATATATTTTCTGCCCAGCAGCTCGTGAGGCTAATTTATGGGTTCCCTAGAGAGTGTCATATTTCATTTGGGAAGGAAACTTAGAACTGTGATTTGGTTGGATCTTTTTGTCATCAGGAAGAAATATTTTGTTTTAGTAACTCTTAGAAAGCACCTCCTCTGAGTTATATTCCACTTTTAGAAGTGCTAAAGTTACTAAAGGAGGAAATAATGCATCTATGAAAGTGTTGCTACTGTGCAGAAACAGCAGAAGTCAGCTCTTAAACACAATAGTAAAGTCAATTTACCAGGAGCTCTAGTTAATTATGCAATGGTTGCCATGGTTACTCTATGAGACAATAAAAGGTAATGGGGCTGTTTCTGAAAAGAGTACAAAAAAGCCCAGCACAGTCATTATGCAGTCGGCTGGCTCTCTTAAAACATTTCTCCCCAAGCCAGAAGAATCCGAGGGAGGCAAAGTCCTAAAACATGAAGGTTCAATGATAAGCACTGCTTATCAATCTTTCTCAAACCAAAAAATTCTGTAAGCATAAAATATCTATTAATGAGTATTCAATTAGATTTGACTCCCCAGCTGGAGAAGTGTAAGACAACCTACCTGAAGGCAGGTTATTGACTGAAAGGTACAGCAGTCTTTGATCTAGTAACAAAAGTGGCAAGGCTGTAGCTACAAAATACTATTTCCTACTGGGCTTAGCTGCTGGGCATACTGGACTACATTCACTGTATTTTTCTTCACTATTTTGTTAAAGTTAAAGTGTACTCAGAGAAGTTGGAGATGTCACAATATTCATCATCCTGGCATGTAGGATAGGGCATGAGGCAGACTAGAAACACAAAGAAATCCTTGGCCTCTTAATGAATTAAAACCCAGATTAGCTCACATGTGGACCTGTTTCAAAACAGAAACAAACAAACAAAAAAAAAACAGTGGATGGGGAGAAACGTATTGAGAATTAATACACACTACAAAATGACACTCAGGAGACTTAAGAAGACATCATAGAATCAAGACCATATCTACTATGGAATAAAAAGATTTTATCTGTTTAGAGAATAAAGTGAACTCATAAGAAACAGGAATGTGAAGTATCTAAGAATCAATTTAGTATGCATACCAGCTATACACATCAGAAAACCAAGAGACTTTTAGAAGGTTTCCTACTCTATTACTCTAGACCCAAATCTTTAGGGTCTAACAAAAGATAAAAAAGAGCAAAGCAAAACAGGAAGAGTAGAGGAGAGCCAATAGGAGATATGGATTATATAGTGAGGGTCAGCCATCTTTAACAATTTCAAGTTTTCCTGAGACTTCAGTATATTTTAAGAAATATTTACTTTTATTTTATGTGTATGAGCAGTGTTCCTTGAAGTGTTTCCAGTGCCCATAGAGGACAGAAGAGGGTGTTGGATACACTGGACCCTGGAGTTATCCATAGTTGTAGCTACCATGTGGGTGTGGGTATAGAAAACCAAACCCAGGTCCTCTCCAAGACTGGGATGGAACAGTAGTGCCAACCTCTAGCCCCAGGTTTCAAGACCTTAAAATGCTGACAAGGTACCCATGCTTCAGGAATATTTGTCTCTACAATTGGTGCACTTAATTTTCTCTTTGCTCACAGGCATCGTAATCTGTTTATTTATTTATTTTTTTTAACTAGAATGTTCTCAGAGTGTGTGCAGGTTTCCTGAATTGCCCACATTTCACTGGGTGAGCAGTAACACTGACCCTGTGTCTTGTTCTCTCCTGACTTCTTACGTCCTTCCTCCGAAGGTGCAGCTGAGAGGGAACTGTACATCCGTTGTGGGTTCCCTGCCTCAGGATCTCACCTGACAACACAGGAACTGAGCATTTAATACACAGCTTAAAGAAGCTCTTGGTTTTCAAAAATGACTATCATAACTCTGTCTCTGCAAGAGGATATAATCAGTAAGAGTGTATGAAAAAGTCAAATGTATTCATAAAATTAACTTCTCTATTGAAAATTTGTTACTTTCATAGAGATGCTATAGATATGACTCCAAATGAATAAACCGCACTTAATTTTACACTCGGCTAAATATAGTACAATAGTATGGAACCTACATCATTATGAATTACATTTAAAAATAAGTTTAGGCCACACAAATTTACTTATCTTTAGTGGCATGCATTGGACTTGGCAAAAAATATATGTACATACACATGTGTGCTTATTATAACTCTTTTAGAATTCCTACTACTAATATTCTGGCTTTGTTATGTCTTTATGAAAATGAGAGTTTAGACACAAACATCAGTGAGTGCATTACATAGAACTTCATCAATACAAGATAAGATTACTGGACACTGTTCTCTAATGCTACCTCTTTAATCTGTTGTTGAATACTTTCTTTTAATGTAACTTCCACTAACAAAGAGTAAATACCTTAATATTATATTTGTTTACCCCAGAGCTTTGTATAAAGGACAAATTTAGTAACTATTATTGTGTCAATAAATTTTAACACAAAGTACTGCCATTTGATCCCATTTGAAGTAAACTATGTATATACTGGTTTTCCTGTTTTTGTCCAAGTTGAGACTTGCATTCATCAAGTTACAACAAGGGAAAAGTTACTTTGTCTTTCTGAAAAATTAACCACAATCCCAAGGTTGTTTTAGGCTTGGGAAATCATAGAGAATAGAAACTTAACCTAAGTGGCATCTGTCATTGGCACTTACGAAACGAGCCTTTACTCTCTTGGGTAACTCTTCATCTAAAGTGTATATGTCTTCTCTCTTCATTGCTATCTGGGATCCATCTTCAAATTCAACCTAAAGAAACAAAAGTCATTGTGATATGTAGTAAAACCAAACAAGTACTGACCATTTTTTTCAGAGTTCCAATTAACTATGGGGGTGGGGCTGGGGGACAGGGAAGTAAAGGACTCTAACAGAGAAAGTATGGAATGAGCAAAAGTAAGGAACATTAGAAGAGCATTTTCTTACCCAACTAAGAACAAAGTAAGTTGAGAAACAGCCAAGACTGTTAAAGAGGACAGACTTAAAATATGAGCTATGAAAACTTTAATACCTAAAAATCAACTAAGAAAATGAGGGCTTATCAGATAATTTCTCTGAAAAGTGGCAAATCCTGCATTAAGATGGGCTGGGCTTGCTAGCATCGTGTCTTATTAACAGAAATTATTAGAAGAAAGAAAAAACAGCCTACAAAAAAAAAAAATGAGAAAAAGTATTTGAGAACTGTACAACAGGTGGGAATATCCAGAATACCTAAAGAGCTACAAAAATTGAAAACCAGGTACCAAACCGAGTTTAAAAACAAAACAAAAAAACAAAAACAAACAAACAAAAAAACCATACGAAGTCATTAGTAAATGGGCTAGTGAAATGAATAGACTACCCTCAGAAGAAATAGAAATGTTCAATAAATACTTGAAAAATTGTTCAATATTCTGAGCTATCCAGAAAATACAAATTAAAACTGGTCTAAGATTCTTGTTCCAGTTAGAATGACTATTATCAAGTAAACAAAGAACAACAACAAATGCTAGAAGGTTGTGTGGGAAAGCAGGGATCTTACACACTACTGGTAGAATTCTGCATTAGTACAGTCACTGTAGAAATCAGTATTGAGACTCCTTACAAAGGCAGAAACACAACTACGATAATCAATGTATACCATTTCATGGTACACCTCTGAAGGACTAAGTCAACATACCACAGAAATATTTGCATATCCATGTTTATTTCTGCATGTATTCAAAATAGCAAGGAAGTGGAAACACACTATATATCTGCCAGTGAACAAAGAATATGAGGCAAACATAAAAAGAAATTTACTCATTATAAACAAAATAAAATTATGTCATTTCCAGAAGAATGGATGAAACAGGACAATATTGTGTTAAGCAAAGGAACGCAGATCCCAAAAGACACATATTAGATATTTTCTTTCATATGTAGAATCTAGACTTAAATTTATTTATGTTTGGTGTTTGTGTGTTGTTAAATTCAAAGAGAACCTTGAGAGGTAAAGATGGTATGTTATGGAAATGGGGGAGACAGGGTAATGGAATGCATAGCAATGTAAAATCAGAAGAGAGTTGTTTGGGGATAAAAAAAGAACACAAATATGGAAGACAGGGATGGGAGAGCAGACTGCAAGAACAAAGTGAATTGACATAATTCCATGAATGGCATAAGGAAATCCATTACTTGTGTGCTAACTTTTAAAAGTAATTTAAAAACAGAAAGTTAAAAGAGTTAATTCTCCGAGAAAGCTTGGCTGGAAGGAGCTTGAGCTCATTCTATAGCTAAAACCAGGACTAGTGAGTGCCCCACAAGCTGAGCTCAGTACTCCTGAGCTGCTGGTGATCTTCATATGGATACTGAAGTTCTGCAACTCAGACTCTAGCCTGCTCTCCTTGGCCTTCAGCAGCTTGTAGTTAAGTGGCTATCTTGATGTCAAGTTCGAGCTTGTTGTTCATCAGTTCCTGGCACTCTTGAAGGTGCTGGGCCATACACTGCTGGGCCCACTGCAGGGCAGCCTCTAGCTCATCCAGCTTGGCATTGGCAGCCTTAATGACCAACTCCCTATGTTGCTCAGTATTAGCGATGCAGCCTCCAGGGTTGCCCCCTCTGGTTTTGAGATTTTCATCTCCACCTGCGGGTAGTTGCTGTTGCAATTCACGATGAAGATCTCTGTAAGGCACAGTTATCACAGGGTCTCCTGGAACATGCTGGCTTCAGTTGGCTATATCCTCATATAGGGAACAGGCTTCAGTGATGATGGTGTCCATGTCCAGGGAATGGCTGTTATCCATAGATAGTACCACAAACATGCCTGCAAACTCACAGATTTCCTCTTCATAGATCTGCTAGAGGAAGTTGATCTTAATCAGCTTGTTTAGGTGGGGGCTCCCATTCCATCTTGTTCATATATGTTTCATCCACATCCTTCTTGATGAGTACAAATTTATTCTCCATCTCTATACTGCTGATCTCATCCTTGGACTTCTTGAAGTCCTCCACCAAGCCCTGAATGTTGCCAAGCTCAGCCTCCAGCTTCAGTGTTTCCTGGCCCAAGGCTTCCAGTGGCCTGAAAAGGTTGCTGATATAGCTATCAAACATGTTGTCCATGTTGCTCCTTGCTATCTTCTGTTGCTACAACAGATCAATTTGGTCTCCAGCATCTTGTTCTGCTGCTCCAGGAAGCACAACTTCTCAATGAAGGCTCTGGTTCACTGTGACCACTGTAATGTCCCCTACACCAAGCCCCCTGAAGCTACTCAGACCCATGCTGGTACCCAGGCTTCTCTGTAAACTAGTACTGCTGCTACCCACTCAGGAAAAGCTGGAAACACTAATTTTGACACTGGTTGCACTCATATATGATGGGCTGCTAAATGTCCGGGTCCTGGAGGTGCACATCTTGCAGGATTTCTGTGTCACACTGGTGGACACGGTCAGATCTGAGTGAAGGCAGTGAGATGAAGTTGGAGGTTTGAGAGCAAGCTGAGCAGCTGCTTATAGGCCCCAGCTGGAGGATATTTATATTACTTTTCTCCTCTAGTAGTATGCAGAGCACACTACCTAAAAGCACCATGAATGCTATTCAGTAGGAATGAAACTAGTTGAGCATCAACTCGAGTTCTTCGTCTTTGGCATCAGCGTCTTATCATCAGGTTGTGAAAAATAACCAATAGCCTTGGCAATACCTATGATGTTAGACTCTGTGTGTGTGTGTGTGTGTGTGTGTGTGTGTGTGTGTGTGTGTGTGTGTTCGGGGCAGGGGCAGGGGCGGGGGTTTCTATGGGTCCCCTTTGGTGAATGACTCAACAAGATGCAAACAATTCCTAGCGCTGGAGGTTGTATTTGGTGGCTGATATCTTTACTTGGTGGTTTTAAGATGTTACATTTTAGTTTGGGCATTACCTCCATTATAAGGTGATATATTTTTCTCATTCCTTGAGGTCCTCTCCTTCCCCCTGGATTCTTACTAGTTACCTAACTTCTATAGTTATTGGAATGAAACGCACACATCAATAAGTTAAAAATTATTGGCACACACCAATAAGTTAAAAATTAATTTCCACATAAGAGAAGATGTGCTGTATTTTGCTTCTGGGCTCTGAGTTACTCACCCAAAATCTTGAATAATTGTTTCTACCTTCATCCATTTACTTTTTTTTTTTTTTTGGGTCTGGATGACCTGTCTACTGGTTAAGTGTGGGATACTGAAGCAATCCATTATCACTGTGTTAGGATTCACATGTGATTTTAGCTGTATACTATTTCTTTTAGGAACTTGAGTAGTCTTGGTTTGGTGTATAAATATTCAGAATTATAATATCCTCATGGCAAATTTTTCTTTTGATGAATACGTAATGTTCCTTCTCTTTAGATTTTTTTTTAAATCTATTTTGTATTTTTGACATCTTGTGTATAATATTATCTCTGGTTATGTCTTCTGGGAGCTTTAAATGCATGAGCAATTCTCTAGAATTGGGAAATTTCTTGTCATGATAAAATGTGTATGCCTTTAGATTGTTATTTCAGTTTGTTCTTCTACCCGGGGTAGTCTTAGGTATGGCCTTGTGAGCATATTCCAGGGTTCTTGAATAGCAGGTGTCAGGATTATACTGTCAGGATAATCTTTTTTTTTCTATTCTTTTTCTATTCCTTTTCTTTGCCTTTCCCTGTTTATTTTATACACAGAACTGAATTTCATATTACCCCAACTTTGTCCTCTAGTCTTAATATTCATTCTTTTGCTTGTTTTTTTTTTCTGTTGATTATGTACACAGTACTTTATGTTTGACTCATGTTGAGGAATCCTGCTAAAGCAGTCCACCATGACAATAGCTTTCTGAGCCTGGTGCAAAAATAGGGGGTCTCCCTTTCTTAGGGGGTGGAGAGGTTCCCTGTCTCCGCCACTGACTGGAGAGTGTACCTGAATACAGCTGGCTGGCCTTATCTGAAAAGTGATCTTGTACAGAGATCTCTGTAAGGTCGCATACCTCAGCATGCACATCCTCCTCTGGCTTCCCGCCTGCATGATAATTAGTTGCTGTATTATAACCAATCAGCCCTTCCTGTTTACTTTATTCCATGATCAATTAGCCCTTTCCATCCATATCCCTAAAAAAGCTCTCATATACACTATCCCTGAAATAATAAACTAAACTTATTTGACTACGGCCTCTGGAGGTCATTTTACCATATTCACTGCCTTCTGAACACTGCTCTATGCCTCTGCTTCCTTTGTACTCCTGTGCTGGTGGCCAACAGCCTCCTAGGAGAAAAGGGGCACAGGTAGCAAAGATTTGCTCACTCATTCCTTGCATTTCTGTTTGACTCTTTTTCCTTGAGCTTTTTTTCCCAGCTGCTGACCTCTTCGTACTTTATTAAGTTTCTTTTCTAGGTCCTGAATTGCTTAAGTTCTCTACTTGGCCACTGAGCCTTTGTCGAAGTGATACTGAAATCTTTTCTAGCATTTCAGCTATGCCATTATCTATGGATTTTTCATATTGATGTGTAGTAAATGGTTTTTAATGTTAATGTATTGTTGAGATGTCAGAGTGGCTTATCTTGATATTGTTGCATTTTGTGCATCTGCTGGGATGAATGTGTCTAGTCTTTATTTTCCCTTTCTTTCCCTCTTTCTGTTTGTTTCATGTAAGTCTTCATGGTGAGCTATATTTGTTTGGGTTTATGTTCCTCTCTACTACTTGGGAGGAGCCTGACTATAGTTAACAGGAAAAAAAAATTATTAGCAATCTCTTGCAGTCAAAGACAATTATGTACTTTACTTGTGACCTATAGGGTTATAAAACAAAAGCACTAGGATCATTTGCCACTGTGTGTTCGTACCAAATCCCAGCTGATGTTACCTTTATCTGGTAGAGTTACTGTCTGGGAATACTTGTACTTGTACCTGGATCAGGCTTACTGATTTCTTGGGTTCTCCAGCGATTGCTCATTTAGGCAGTGGCTATACATTTTATATATCCTTCAGCCTAGTCATTCCAGGGTATATAAGTAGAGAGAGTCAGAGTACCTGGTGAAGAACTTCAGCCACAGCTCCCAGGGTCAGCATAGCCTCAGCCACCTCTTCAGTACACTTTAAAAAGCTTTTATAACTATTATTATTTTTCCAAATTCAAATAGACCTCTAGCATGTAAATGTCATAGCATATAAATATCACCAGTATGTGAAAACACAGTATCTTTTAAAAGAAAAACATTTTCAACTCCTTTCTTACGTTAGTAAAATGACAGCAACTAATTCTGAAATTTTTTTTTAGACCATAGGGAACTTAGAGAAAAGTCCATGATCCTGGCCTACCTGAGGCCTGGATAGTGAGGGCTCAGGAATTATTCCAGCATCAGTTTTTGTAAAAGAAAACAAAATTGGTGGGATGAGTAGACATTTGATATATTGCAACTCCTAAGTCTCCTAGGATTCAAAATCTCTAGCTATTTTGATTTTCCTTATTTTTCACTTTTAATCAAATACAGCAGTACTTCAAAAGTCTAAAGATGAGTCGAATTATGCAGTGGTTCTATGACATCAACAAAACAGAAATGGAAGCACACATTAAACATGTTTTTGTTTTCATTTACATTCATGTACTCCTAACATAAGATTCTAACAGCGTGGAATCAGGCTGTGGTCACAAAAAAAACTTTGTTGCTCCTGCCTAGAAGGCTGAGAAAAATAGGGTTCATCCTGGCCTTTTCTACTTACAAAATGGCTCCCTTAGCAGTAAAGTAGGTAAGGTGTCTTCTCACTTATACATTTACTAGCATAGCTTTAACTATCTGTGACTAATTTTCTTATCCTTAAAAGAGTTAAAATTTGTTCACTGAGCTGTCTCCTTCCCTTATGTGTACACTAGGAATTAATAAAACTTATTTTGCAGGACTATTATAAGAAGCAAAATTACACACACAAACACACAGAAACATACAATCACATAAACAGATATAAGCATACACACACATACATACATACATACATACATACACAGACACTCATATACAGAGATGCTCACAGACCCAAATTTAGACACACAAATATACACACAGATAAATACAGCCACATATATACACATACAGACATACACACAGACACAAATATGCACATAAAGAGCCACATCAATACACATAAACAAAGATACATATAACCACACAGGCCCAAATCCATACACATACAGATAAAAACACACACCTGCAAATATGCACACAGACCCATACATTACAGACACACACAAACATACACAGATTTAGTATACATGTACTGTGTGCCTGATATTTATCTCTTTGCACTTTAATGACTATCTGGTTTATTTTACGGTGAAACTGAAATACAGCACAAAGTGGTCTCAAGGGGCCACTTGGTTTAATGAGGAATTTTATACTAGTTGTAATTAAAGAGATACTTTTAACACAAGCTTTAATTTTCATTGACTCCATATTTATGGCTGCAATTTTATGTTGCTGGGCTAAAACACTGACTACTAATTAGCCTGCATTTTAACATGTGATACTTTTATGTAGCAATGAGCTTTGTTATATAGCTTCACTATTTCTCTTATTAAATGTGACATTTTGTTTTTGAATGCTATATTAATACTTTCTCCAGGAATCTTCTGTATTATCTAGCCCCCTGTGAGGTTTACTTAATTGTGCACAATCTGCTACAAAGATGCTGTAGCACATATCCCATCATTACATAGCACTAAAATACATATGGGAATGACTGAAATAGCCAACAGTATACACACATCCTCTACTTGCTAACTTTTAGTTTTTTATGGTGTAATAAAAACACAGTATCCAAAACAACTTGGGAAGGTGAGATTTTATTTCATTTTCACATCAAAGTCCATTACTGAAGTCAGGGCAGAACCTCAAGGCAGGAACTAAAACAGGGACCAGGGAAAATTGGAGGATCACTACTTACTGGTTTCCTTAGCCTGTTTTCTTATATAACTCAGGACTATCTGCAGAGGTATGACATACACACAATGAGCTAGGCTCCCATCCATCAACCACTAATTAAAAAGATGTGCCACAGATTACCTAAAGGCCAGTCTCACGGAAACATTTTCTGAATTGAGGATCTTCTTTCCAGATATCTCTAGCTCTTGTCAACATGAAAGGAAACTTGACAGAATACCAACTCTTGTGGAATTTCATAGACCATGAAAAAGTGTTCTCTCATGTTTTCTAAATTTCTTTGAGCATCTTTTAATTACATTTGGTTCTAGTTTCTGGTACCCTATCTTGTAATGCACTCTTCCTTTTAAGCCCTTATCGGTTTGTTAAGTTCCTTTACTCAAACTAGAGTCTTATTATTCTTTAGCCTGTTTTGCATCTGAATCATCTTGGTTTTCCCTGTTTTTACTATACCATTTATACTAGAATGTTTATTTGTGACATGGTGTCATTGAAATCCACTGCTTCAGTTTTAAAGTCCTCCAAGGGATAGGAATGCACATGTGCTACCCATGTTGTTTCCCTTTTGTGAGTTGAACTCATCTTTATTTCGGGTAAAAATATAAAATTCCAGTATAGTTATTCATGTAAAATTCCCTAGTGAGCAGAATATACACTTGATAATATTACCTTTTCCTAAACAATTATTTTTTAAACTTGAGTAGATGACAACTGTAAGTTCCTTAGAACATATGTCAATGCTCCTCCCCTGACTTAGTTTTATCTGAGATTCCTTCTCCATCCACGGAAATCAAGTCAGGGGCTGCTGGTTGAACAGCTATCACAATATTACCACAAAAGTAATATATAACGCTGTATCAACTTCACAAATGAATGTTACATCCATATCCATCCATCATTCTATCTATCTATCTATCTATCTATCTATCTATCTATCTATCTATCTGATTCCTGTAGTTCTGGGCTTTGAACATGCAAAGCAAGTGCTCTACTGCTGAGCTATATAATAACTCAAGCTCCATGTTCTGGCTTAAGGTGAAATTAGCCAATTCTCATAATGAAAACACTCTCATAATGAAAAACAGCCTACTATCTACTCGCTGAACAATATACTAAACTAACCATTTACCAACTGTTAGGGTTCCTCGGTGTTCAATCAGGCAACTAAACTATGTTACTAAACTATAAGTTGAAACCAAGGCTGCTAGACATTGACATTTTGCCTTTCACAAAATAAAAGGAAAGGCACAAAATCCATCTCCCTCTGGTATCTCCTGTCCATCTCAAACACCAAAGAGAGAGCAGCACCCACCTGATACATGTAGGCAACATTTGATCCAAGATACTTTGCCCCATAGAGTTTACCATCAGGCCATTTGACTTGGATGACTTCTCCCTCCGCAGGAGGGCCCAGCTTCACACAGTTCCGGCTCTGTGGAATTAACGGAAAGACATTTTAAGGCAAGTGACTAAGTGAACACATTTGGAGCTTAGTAAATGATGAACTCTTGGGAATTAAAAAGAAAAATTGTCCCCATGTTATAGGATTATTATCTTGATTGGATGTTCAGGGAACAGATATGCAGTAAAGGAGCACTTAAAGATTTAGCCTATACTATTAAGTTGCAGGAGCCCCATAAGACAAGCAAGAAAACAAACAAACAAAACAACGAACAATCAGTACTTTACATTTACTATTTAACAAAGAATTGTCAAGGCAAAAAGAAGCTCAAATAATAAATATGAAGTGCTTTGCCAGAGAGGAAGAGACCAGCTAGGGATTCATTATACCTAACATTTCTGTAGCAATTTTCAATTAACAAAGTGCTTCAGGACTCCCCTTGCCCACCCCCCACCCCCCCGCTTGGTCTTTTTGGCTTGGGCAGAAACCTAGCTGGTCTGTTCCCAGGAAGACACCATATCCTGAGCCATCCTTGAGGAGCCACTGCACTCAGAGCAGCTGGTAAGAACCCTCTCCCACTACCCTACGCTTGAAAGCTACAACTGGGAGCCTGGGGCACCCAGGACCCCTCAGGCACCCAAACCTGGCCCCTCTGGAATACCACTCCCCTTCTGTCCCTCCCTTGGTCCTTTTGACAGGGGCAGACAACTATCTGGTCTGCTACCATGAAGACAGCATATCCAGAGTTATCCAAGAGGAGCCATTCTACCCAGACCAGCAAACACCTAGCTGGTCTGCTGCCATGGGGACACCATATCCTGCCTGAGCCATCCTAGAGGAGCCATTGTACTCAGAGCAACAGGATTTCAGGATCCCAGAGGCAGCCTGAGTCCTAGGAGTTCTTCTACCCAGGAGCTCAGGATCACCAGATCACAGAGATATCTGGACTCTTCGGAGTTCTGACACAAGAAAGATAACTGGAAAGATAGCTCCAGTCAGAGACAGTTGAGTACAGATAGCATTAGAGTTAACCAGAGGACAAAAGGCAAGCGCAAGAACATAAGTAACAGAAACTAAAGTTACTTTGCATCATCAGAACCCAATTCTCACACCATAGCAAGCCCTGGACATACCATCACACCAGAAAAGCAGGATTCAGAATTAAAATCACTTCTCATGATGATGATAGAGGACTTTAAGAAGGACATAAATAACTCCCTTACCCTTAAAGAAATACAGGAGAACACAAGTAAACAGGTAGAAGCCCTTAAAGAGGAAACACAAAAATCCCTTAAAGAATTTCAAAAAAACACAACCAAACAGGTGAAGGAATTAAACAAAACCATCAGGAATCTAAAAATGGAAGTAGAAACAATAAAGAAATCTCAAAGGGAGACTACCCTGGAGATAGAAAACCTAGGAAAGAGATCAGGAGTCATAAACGCAAGCATCACCAACAGAATATAAGAGATAGAGGAGAGAATCTCAGGTGCAGAAGATACCATAGAAAACATTGAACAACTGTCAAAGAAAATGCAAAATGCAAAAGGCTCCTAACCCAAAACAACCAGGAAATCCAGGACACAATGAGAAGACCAAACCTAAGGATAATAGGTATAGAAGAGAGTGAAGATTCCCAACTTAAAGGGCCAGTAAATATCTTCAACAAAATTATAGAGAAAAACTTTCCTAACCTAAAGAAACAGATGCCCATGAACATACAAGAAGCCTACAGAACTCCAAACAGACTAGACCAGAAAAGAAATTCCTCCCATCACATAATAATCAAATCATCAAACGCACAAAATAAAGAAAAATACTAAAAGCAGTAAGAGAAAAAGTCAAGAAACATATAAAGGCAGATCTATAAGAATTACACCAGACTTCTCACCAGGGACTATAAAAGTCAGAAGATCCTAGAATGATATCATACAGGCCCTAAGAGAACAGAAATGACAGCCCAGACTACTATACCTAGCAAAACTCTGAATCACTATTGATGAAGAAACCAAGATACTCCATGGCAAAACCAGTTTTACACAATATTTTCCCATAAATCCAGCACTTCAAAGGATACTGATGGAAAACTCTAACACAGGAGGGAAACTACAACCTAGAAAAAGCAAGACAGTAATCTTTCAACCAAAACAAGATAGCTACACAAACATAATTCCACCTCTAATAACAAAAATAACAGGAAGACACAATCATTTTTTCTTAATATCTCTTAACATCAATGGACTCAATTCCCCAATAAAAAGATGTAGACTATCAGACTGGATACACAAACAGGACCCAGAATTTTGCTGCACACAGGAAACCCACCTCAGTGACAAAGACAGTCACTACCTCAGAGTAAAAGGATGGAAAAGAATTTTCCAAACAAATGGTCCCAAGAAACAAGATGGGGTAGCCATTCTAATATCAAATAAAATCGACTTTCAACCAAAAGTAATCAAAAAAGATAAGGATTACTTCATACTCATCAAAGGAAAAATCTGCCAAGAAGAACTCTCAATTCTGAACATCTATGTTCCAAATGCAAGGGCACCCACATACATAAAAGAAACTTTACTAAAGCTCAAAGCACACATTGCACCTCACACAATAACAGGGATTTAAAGACCCTCACTCTCAGCAATGGACAAATCATGGAAAGAGAAACTAAACAGACATACAGTGAAATTAACAGAAGTTATGAACCAAATGGATTTAACAGATATCTATAGAACATTTCATCCTAAAACAAAAGAATATACCTTTTTCTTAACACCTCATGGTACCTTATTCAAAACAGACCATATAATGGATCACAAAGGAGGCCTCAGCAGACACAAAAAGACTGAAATAATCCCTTGCATCCTATCAGATCACCATGGACTAAGGCTGGTCTTCAATAATAACAAAAACAATGGAAAGCCCACATACATGTGGAAACTGAACAATGCTCTACTCAATGATGAATTGGCCAAGGAAGAAATAAAGAAAGAAATTAAAGACTTTTTAGAATTTAATGAAAATGAGGATACATCATACCAAAACTTGTGGGACTCCATAAAGGCAGTGCTAAGAGGAAAACTCACAGCTCTTAGTGCCTACAAAAAGAAACTGGAGAGAGCATACACTAACAACTTGACAATACACCTGAAAGCTCTAGAACAAAAAGAAACAAATACACCCAAGAGGAGTAGATGGCAAGAAATAATCAAACTCAGGGCTGAAATCAACCAAGTAGAAATAAAAAGAACTATACAAAGTACCAAAAAGACCAGGAGCTGGTTCTTTGAGAAAATCAACAAGATAGATAAACCCTTAGTCAGACTAACCAGATGGCACAGAGACAGTATGCAAATTAATAAAATCTGAACTGAAAAGGAAGACATAACAACAGAAACCCAGAAAATTAAAAAAAAAAACAGATCCTACTACAAAAGCCTATACTCAATAAAATGGAAAATCTGGATGAAATGGACAATTTTCTAGACAGATACCAGGTTCCAAAGGTAAATCAGGAGCAGATAAACCATCTAAAGAGTCCCATAACTGCTAAAATAATAGCAGCAGTCATTAACAGTCTCCATACCAAAAAAAAAAAAAAAAAAAAAAGCCCAGGACCAGATAGTTTTAGTGCACAATTCTACCAGACCTTCCAAGAAGACCTAATACCAATTCTCTTTAAACTATTCCACAAAATAGAAACAGAAGGAACACTACCCAATTCGTTCTATGAAGCCACAATTACACTCATACCTAAACCACACAAAGACAGAAGAAAGAGAACTTCAGACCAATCTCCTTTATGAATATCGATTCAAAAATTCTCAATAAAATTCTTGCAAACTGAATCCAAAAACACATCAAAACAATTATCCATCACGATCAAGAAGGCTTTATCCCAGGAATGCAGGGTTGGTTCAATATACGGAAATCCATCAATGTAATCAACTATATAAACAAACTCGAAGAAAAAATCCATATGATCATCTCACTAGATGCTGAGAAAGCATTTGACAAAATTTAACACTCCTTCATGGTAATAGTCTTGGAAAGATCAGGAATTCAAGGCCCATACCTAAATATAGTAAAAGCAATATACAGCAAGCCAGTAGCCAACATCAAGCTAAATGAAGAGAAACTTGAAGCAATCCCACTAAGATCAGGGACTAGACAAGGCTGCCCACTCTCCCCCTACCTATTCAATATACTACTAGAAGTCAAAGGGATACAAATAGGAAAGGAAGAAGTCAAAATTTCACTATTTGCAGATGATATGATAGTATACTTAAGTGGCCCTAAAACTTCCACCAGAGAACTCCTAAACCTGATAAACAACTTCAGCAAAGTGGCTGGTTATAAAATCAACTCAAACAAAATCAGCAGTCTTCCTCTACTCAAAAGATAAACAAGCTGAGAAAGAAATTAGGGAAATGACAGCCTTCACAATAGTCACAAATAATATAAAATACCTTGGTGTGAATCTAACCAAGCCAGTGAAAGATCTGTATGACAAGAACTTCAAGTCTCTGAAGAAAGAAATCAAAGAAGATTTCAGAAGATGGAAAGATCTCCCTTGCTCATGGATTAGCAGGATTAATATAGTAAACAATGGCCATCTTGCCAAAAGCAATCCATAAATTCAATGCAATCCCATCAAAATTCCAATTCAATTTTTCATAGAGATAGAAAGAACAATTTGCAAATTCATATGGAATAACAAAAAACCCAGGATAGCGAGAACTATTCTCAACAATAAAAGAACTTCTAGGGGAATCACCATCCCTGACCTCAAGCTGTACTACAGAGCAATAGCGATAAAAACTGCATGGTATTGGTACAGAGACAGGCAGGAAGATCAGTGGAATAGAATTGAAGACCCAAAAATGAACCCACACACCTATGGTCACTTGAACTTTGACAAAGGAGATAAAACTATCCTGTGGAAAAAGGACAGCATTTTCAACAAATGGTGCTGGTTCAACTGGAGGACAACATGTAGAAGAATGAAAATTGATCCATCCTTATCTCCTTGTACAAAGCTCAAGTCTAAGTGGATAAAGGACCTCCACATAAAACCAGATACACTGAAACTAATAGAAGAGAAGGTGGGGAAGACCCTTGAATACTTGGGCACAGGGGAAATTTTCCTGAACAGAACACCAATGGCTTATGCTCTAAGATCAAAAATTGATGAATGGGACTTCATAAAATTACAAAGCTTCTGTAAGGCAAAGGACACAGTCAATAGGACAAAATGAAAACCAATAGATTAGGAAAAGATCTAAGATGCTAACAGTTAAAAAGTAATCACCAGAGAGGAAGCATGGGCATAATTGAAGTGGGTGTCTATCAGGTGTTTGGCTGTCCAACATCTGAGAGCACTTTTAGCAGTGTCTCAGTTACAGGCAGAGCTAGCCTGTCCTGACACATTAATATGTCACAAACTCTTCTCCAGTTAACTGGCAATACAGACAATAATGGGAGCTTGGCTAGTTAGTTGCACCTGGCTAGGATACGGAATCTACAATCAGATCCACAGAGAAACAAGCAGGGGGTAGACAACCCTCTGAAGGCAGCAGAGGTGTTAGTTTTTATGGCAATGGCAGTCAGCCCCAGTGTGACTACACTAGAGGTAAGGGCCCAGCTTTCATAGACTGAGGCCTAGTGTTCCCCACAGTCATGGATGAGCAGTATCCGTTTTATGCTTTGATAGTTTTTGATTCTTGTTTTTTCCATATTCAAAGGCATTTTGTGAGCTTTTCAGCAACACTCCACCAAATTTCTTTATCGCCTAAATGAGAAAGTCTCAGTTTGTCCCTAATAGAAAGACAACTGCTAGTTTGGGTAATGAAGATTCCCACAAACCAAGGAACATGAATCATCAAGTCTTTGGAGCTGTGGTAGGGTTTAGGGAATGACCTCTTGAGGAACATGCTCAGATGAGAATGCATGTACTTTGGATTGCTTGTTAAGAGTATGGACACCCTTATATAGAGATTTGAAAAGATAGAATACAGTTTATATTTGTTTTCTAAGAAATGATTTTTGTTCTGTATTTTTACATATTAGGGCAAATTGCAGAATTTGTGTTTTTTCTTTATAAATATTATTTATTTATTTATTTATTTATTGAATGAATGAATGAATGAATGAATGAATGTAGATGAGTGTTCTATCTGCATGTATGCCAGATACTTCCATGGCAGAAGAGGGCATCACATCATATTATAGATGGTTGTGAGCCACCATGTGGGAATTGAACTCAGGACCCCTTGAAGAGTAGTCAGTGCTCTTAACTGTGGAGCCATCTCCAGCCCCAAAATTGTTTTTCTATGAATGACAGCACATAGAATTGACCACTGTCAACATTTGTTCATCTCTATGCTTATTATACACATTTATTTTTAAGAATTGGGGCATTCTATTAAGGTGTACATACACTAATGCATAGGTGATCTTTCTTTAGAAGTCTGACCTTTCTTGTTTTCCACATAAAAACAGAGTTGAGCTCTCTCAAGATGCAGATAAGGTTGCTACTTGTCACAGCTTATGTCTGTTCCTGCATCTATTTTATAGCATCTGAACCAGAGAGAGACCTTTTGTTTTTAGTGTGTGTGTGTGTGTGTGTGTGTGTGTCCCTAAATAATTGCTTTTAAAGGTGGTAAAGGAAAATCTGAAATGCTCCTACCCAGGGTTATCTGCATATACATATGTTCTTTGTTACATACAGAATCAATGTCATAGTAGGTTCAGGGTTAATGGACTCAACTCTTACAAAATAAGAAGTCTGATTTCCTATGGTTTTTTTTTTTAGGATAGCTTTTTTTTCCCATTGAAAAAGAAATACATGCATATGCATGTGTGAATACATCACTTCCTATACTCACACAATATTGTGGTGTCATTGTTATATTACTGAAAGTCCACCTTGCTTAGTCAAAGAACAAAAAGACAAAAGTCTCGTGATCACTCCCATGATCACAGTTTCTAAGGGTTTATCAGGATGATCAAAATATCTGAGCCTACTTCCCTGTCCTAGACCAAGTCATTTTCATGCCTGAAACCTATTTCCTTGTTCTAGCCTACGATTTAGATTCTTGCCTGAAATTACTTCTTCACTCCAGCCTAAGTGAAGAAACAAGCAAGTAAATACCACTCTATAGCCAACAGAGGCATCAAGAGGATTCCAGGCTCTGGTATATGCTAAGGGGGCCAGTGATTCCCCATGCACATAAATTTTTTTAGATGGGCATTTTTAATTTCCATTAAAATAATGAAAGACAAAAATTCACCAAGAGTGTGTTTAAAAGACTGACAGATGTAAGCATGTAGCAATACATCATTTATTATTTCCTTCAACAACTACACATTGCATTCTGAGGTTAAGTGGGCTGCACTGTTCAGTGAGAATTTTTTGAACATCTTTCTACCAGAAAATTAAGTACCTAGGCAGAGAAATTTCATGCTGCTCTACAGACTCTCGAGTAACAAAATACCTTCCAATACCTTTATGATTGCCAAACTTATTTTCAAATATGGAATTTACATTAAAGAACTCTTATTTAATGAATTAATAAAGTGAGCTGTAAACACTGATCCTTTAAATCATGGAACTATACCTGTCTTTATTAAGTATCAGGCTTCAAAACAGGTTGTGTTTATGTTAGACATAAATAAGTTATGATCATTAAATTTGATGTTCTAAATTTTATTTTCATATTAAAAAAAAACCCTAAAATTGTAATACAGCCTGCCAAGAAGGTTCCCGATCTGCGGTGAGCTGGCTAGAGATAGAGAAAAGCTGAGAAGCTGTGGACTGTAAATGCAGAAGACTCATGTCTGAGGAGGAACCTAAAGCAGAGAGACAGAGAGAGACAGAGAGTCTGTGTATTAGGGCAGAGAAACAAGTGCATCCCATGGGATACAAGTTTCTAGGGAGGGGAAACGGGAAAAGGGGATGACATCTGAAATGTAAATAAATAAAATTAAAAAAAAAAAAAAACTTACTCTTGGACTGCCTTGCCTTTTCACAACTTAAACAAGTAAATTCCTGTTCTAAGGAATCAGGTACTCAGGGAAAACCTACTTACCACGATATCCTCAGGAAATGTGTCTCTGCTGAAGGAGCCATCATCAAACATAACCTCATAGAAGGTTTGAGATGTCACATCTATCACTCTGCAGCTGTAGTACCGAGTGTTTCGATGTTTTGTGATGACTGTCTGACCCACAGAAATGGCTTTCTCACAGGTTTTGGACTTCTGTGAGATAGAGAAAAAGGGAAGAAGAGAGACAGATATAAAAGAAGAACAGAAAATAAAAACTATTTATTTGAGAACCAAAAAAAAATGACTTTGTCAAGATTTAAATATTTTAAATTTAGTATGAAAGAATAATTTTAAATTTAAAGAATGAGATTAGTACAAAAATAAATTATATATCCTTTGACAGGAATCAAAATTCATCTCCTATTCATCATTGCTTACTATCACATAATAACTAATGTCTTATGATGTGCTTTGTTGTGAAGTAGAAGAAAAGGAAATATGTTTCATGCGTGCATAATTCTGCCTCCGTGGCTTGTCTTTGGTACATCTGAGCCCAACTCTTCAATCCCCTATGGTTTTCTTAAGCTACTTTGAAGCAATGTACATCATGGTGTTCATTATCTAAATACTTCAAGATTTACTTTCTAGGATAAGATACTCCTTTATATAATCACAGCTCTAGATAGTAATCAACATGAAGAAGGTGAACACTAACATGACACTTTAATCTGCCACCTAGATTCAACTTAGTTAACTGACCTCATAATGACCTTAGTGTCTTCCTATCCTCTCCCCTGAACTTCTAAAGATAAAGATCCATTCTGCATTTCAGTTCTGTTTAGAAAAGGATCCATTCTCCAGTTTTGTTTATCTGTCCTATCATTTGAGTCATTTAAATTCATTTTTTCAGACCTTCCTCTTTATTTTAAATGGTACTGATACTTTAAAAAGATAAAATTTCTCTTGCTTTTTAATAGATATCTGTGTAATATTTCCCCATGATTATACACAGTATTGTACAATACTATAGTCTTTTCAGGATTATTTTCATCTGAGGATACATGATATTTGCATGTGTCTCAATGTTACTTTTGATTCTAAATCAAGGAGTGACCCAATTTCTCTATTTTTTTCTTATATTAATATACAATCTATGGGACACTTTCTTACTATGGAGAAACATCATGATCCTTATACAAGTTAGTTTTAATTTAACATCCAATAATGAGTCTCACTTATTCTTTATTGATGATGGTCGCACATGCTGATCATCCTGCTCATTTGATCAATTTAAGTCCACGAGGCAGATTAAAGTGTCAGTGTTCATCTTCTTGAAGGTTTACTGTCTGGAGCTGTGATTATATAAAAAAAATCTCATTCTTAGAAAATTTACAGGATATCACTTGGTATTTGATATGGGCATCTCTCATGTCCTCCTGCATCTACTTACCTACCGACCTTCCTACATACCAAACCTATCCAATATTAGCTTGAGCTGATTAATTCCTTATCCCTAATTGTATATAAGTCTTAATGTATTTTAGTAATTGTTACTGAAATTACCTCACATTTGCCCTACATAGGAATCTTTAAATGTATATATGCATGTTTTTATGTATCTTTGTATCTATCTACATATCTATCAATCAATCAATCTATCTATCTATCTATTTATCTATTAGCAGTTATCTGCTATATGTCCTGAAGTTTTTACATCTTCTCTGTAATTAGACATTATGGTTCATTTCAGAGGGCAATGGTTCTTTATGATTTCAGGTGGAAAAAGGGGCTGCAGGTCCTTTTTACAAGAATTCTGCATGTCTGAACATGAACAATACTATGTAAGATGCTATACAAATGCTACTCATTATTTCTTTTATAATCCTTATCTATGTTGATGCACTGTCAAGATAGGATTAAAGCCATAATTGTGCTATAAACATACACTGCCCTGTGAGACACAGGAACGGAACAAAAATTCACTAAATTTTCTTGGATTTCAGAAGAAATGGATGAAGTAACAGTAAAAGGAAAATCAACTGAAATTTTCCTATTCCCCACCAAAACAGTTTAATGCAGATTATCTGTAGCATATGTTAATCAATAATAACAAATCTGGGAGATTGTTTAAATGTATTTATATTCAAGTAAATTAATGATACAGCTCCTAGCCTTCCAGGTGTTACCTTGCACAACATAGCTAACAATCCAGTGAAGAAAAACCACAAAGAGGAGAACTTTTCCTTGGTATATATCTGACAAAAAAATAATACCAAGAGTATATATCAAGAAACAAAATCCAAAAAATTGACTCAACTAATAAGCGTGCTATGGATCTAAACAGTGTTTTCAACAGAAGAAATAAAAATGGCTAAGAAAACCTCAAAAAATGTTCTGTATCTTAGTGATTGGGTCATGCAAGTTAAAACAACTTTGTGCTTTCATTATCAACTACAACTAACACTGGAGAGAATGTGGGGCAGGGAGAATTCTCATTCACCATTAGTGGAAACACACACTAGTAAAGCCAAGCGACTCTGAAAATCAGTGCTGAGAATGGTCAAAAAGCTAAAAATAAATCTACCATAAGACCCAACAATACTACACCTTGGCTCAAAGGACATCATGTCCTATAGCATAGATAGTTGTTTCGCAATGTTTTTGCAAAACTATTCACAATAGTTAAAATAGCTAAGGAAAGGTTGGGAAATACATACAAAGGAGTATTACTTGGCTATTAAAAGAACTGAAATCATGAGATGTTTATGTAAATGGTGAACCTAAATAAACTCCTGCAAAGGAAATTCACACCCAGTAAGACAAACACCACATTCTCTCTTCCATCCATTACTCAGATGTGAGCATAGAAGCTAGAGTAACCACAAGTACCAGCAAAGTAAAAGGAGGACCACAGGGGTGCAGGAACTTGAGAGGAAAAGAGCAGAATACAGGTGAGATGAAGGGGAAGGAAGGGGGATTTGATGAGAAGTAGGGAACAAGGATGGAAAAATAACATTCTTATATAAAAACCATAAGGAATATTATTTTATATTTATCTAGAATTACATTGTTGTATTTGAAAACGAAGATCATGTACTTCAGGAGAGGCAATTCTGATGTTTTGTAACAAAAGTTTCTGTCTGACTCCATAGTTCCTTTCCTACTGCTATGACAATTTATCACAATCAAGGCAAGTTATAAAAGAATGCATTTAATTTGGGGGCTCATGATTTTAGAGTTAGAGTCTATGACCATCATGGTGACAATTATGCAATAACAAGCAGATGGTGCTACTGAGAGCTTATAACTGATCCATAAGTGTAAGGGGGATGGGGAGAAAGGGAGAGGGAAGGAAGAGCATGCTAACTAGAGATAACATGAGCCTTCTGAAGAAACCCAGGGTGACGCACTTCCCCCCAAAAGCCATACTTCCTAATCCCTCAAAAACAGATCCACCAACTTGAGACCAAGCATTTAAGAACCTGAGATTCTGGGGATAGTTGTCATTGAAACTACCACAATCATTCTGCTTACTGTCCAAATTTTGAAGGAGGTAACCATACTGAAGTCTAAGTGAAGAACAGGTAAGTAGTAGCTATAAGGACTATACTTCAAAACCCCAGAGCTACCTGTACAGGTCCAGGAGCAATTAATTTCAAAACCTACAATTTTGTTTATTTATTTGTTGTTTGTTTGTAATGCTTTATAAGGAAATGGCCATATATAATATTTAAGCTATATGATATGTTCCTTTATAAACATACCACGTATAAAGTGGATCTGCTGTGTAGTAGTTTCTCAGTTACCTCGTCTTATGTTTTTGTCTTCATCATCTTTTGTAAAATGGTTCGCGACATAAGCCTGACTAAGCCACACATTACAGTGAGGAAGAGACAGAGTCCCTAGAGCTCTTAAATCCAATTTCAATAGAATCACCTCTAGCCAGTGCAATATTAAAATGGGATATATGGTCCCAAGCAAAACTTTGGATACATACTGTTAGCTTTATTTAAGTTTTGAGTTAGGATTCAACAAGTATTAGAACATATAGGTTGAACAGTCAGTCATCTATCATTTATGATTACAGAAGATTGTGGATGGAACTAAGTGCCTCTGAAATTAGGTTATTTTTAAAACAAGAAAAATAATACTTATATTAGATTGTAGCTCCAGCAATAGTAGGAGTAAAAGAAATTATAGTATGCAATTCCACTTTTTCATAGTTATCAGTTTTTACTGGCAGATTCTAAGCATGAACACTGATTACTGTGGCTCTAGAGGTCAGAATCTTTTTTTAAAAGAATTATTTTATGCATATGAGTATACTGTAGCTGTCTTCAGACACATCAGATTGGGCATCCAATCCCATTACAGATGGTTGTGAACCATCATATGGTTGCTGGGAATTGAACTCAGGACCTCTAGAAGAGCAGTCAGTGCATTTAACCACTGAGCCATCTCTCTAGCACCCCAGAATCTTATTATGTCACAAAGTACATCCAGAATCATTTAATGGGGTAGCATTATTGACTTCTGGTTGTAAATTGCAAAGTGCCACAGTTATGTATATATTTTTACCAATTTTTTAGTTTGGTAATGTGTGTTTGCTACTGAATATAATCATTTTGGTTAATGGACATCAACTATCTATGGAAAAAGCATGGATGCATTCTATGCAACCTGTAACTTCACATAATAGAAAATAACTTTAAAATAAAGAGCTCATAACAGCAGTTTGTACATTTGGACATTCTCACACATCCATACAATCCCCAGCCACAAATTTTAAATATCTCTAAAGACACTAGTAGAAGTTGATGGAATCATTACAAAAGGCTGGAAGGTTGCTGTCTGAGTAAGATCCTTCCACAAGTCAATACGGACAATTTAGCATCTGTTCATAAAAGGTCATTAGTGGCTGCATATGATAAAGATGTATTTTTTCCACGTGTGAGGTTGTCAAATAATAGAAGACATTTCATTTTTTTTAAATAAAAGAAGAGTAGAGGAGAAAAATATTATTAGAGACAAAAAAAGCATGTTAGGATGCAAATCTCTATATTGCCCTAATCCTTTTAAGCTTTTAAGTCAAGGGAATGATTCATTAACCAAGGAGAGGTTAACTAAGTTACAGTTAAATTCATGTTTTCTGGGTACAAATTTTATTTTCTTAGAGGAACTTCAGTTAAGTAAAATAAACATATATGTTGGTGGGCAAGTTGCTCTATTTTTACTTTCTATAATCTATGGCAGTATAATCTCCTCACTTTAAAAGTTATACATTTCCACAGTCATACTCCACTGATCTTCCAGGGCCTCCATGTTAGACCTCACTTATCTTGTGTTAGGTAGAAAGGATCAAAAGTTCCTGGCCATTTTCCTTTTACAACATTGCTGCTATTTCTTTCCTTCAGGAGAGATTTAAATAAATGTATATAGTTGCATACAGAATGCATTGCAGATTTTAGGAGATTCTTTTCATGTTGCTCTACTTGAAATGGTCTTCTGACACGGTGAATACATGAACTGCACAATCTATATACAACTCTTCAGATACCTGTACACAGATCCAAAAAAAGAATGGATATAAAGAGTTTGACTTATTTATTTTTCATTCATTCATTCAACTTACTAAATATTGTGTTTAGTGCATACCAGAAACTGAAGGGTTCTGCACAACTATGCTTAAATAGCAGTTCTTAATCCCTAGTCTTAATTATACTACAGTCTGGCCATGTCAACATTCACGAGACCTGTGACAGGTCCAGGAAGGAATTCAAATAAAGCATCAGCAAGTGGGAGAGCAGGCCTTACCACATTGGAGTTGACTCTATGTCTGAAGCATGTGATGTTTACCACATAAGGCCAGTCATCAGGCTCCATGAGCACTCCAGCAGCATGGGCACATGTAACATGGAACGAAGCTGGGCAGCGGCCATAAGAACACTGAATGCAGGCTCCAGAAATCCTTTTAACCCGCTGTCTACAGAAGATGCATTTCTGAAGGATTAAAACAGAGAAGAAAATTATGCATCAAAGAGTAATAGTTGTTAGATGAATAACACAGCAGGCTTTACATCAAGTTCTCACTCTGGGGTGTTATCAGCAAGAACATCTGTGGCAATATAATCTCCTCATGTTAAAAGTTATACACTTCCACTGTTATACTCCACCAGACATATTCTGAAGTACTTCTATGGTCAGAAAAACCGAAAGTTTTTCCCACATACTTCTCTTAGAATACATATTAGAAGGACTTGGGTGATCTTGTGATCAACCATGACTGTCAAGAGTGCTTCTGTTAGGCCTGTACACAGTCGGCCTTGTGTATATCTCAGTTAGAACCTAGGTGCAGATATTCTTTCATTAGATGAGAATATTGGAAATATTCAAACATACATATGGGAATAAATTTTCATTTACAATGAAATGGAAAACATTAAATGGTTCAATGTGGAAACTAAGAACTCAAGTATAATAATCCAAATCTGAATGCTTCCTGACTAAGACAAAAATGCCTCCAAAGTAGGGAAATTTAAAATCATCTCAAGCTAGCATGTTTGCATTGAACATAATGAACAGCTAGGGGAGACTGAAACAAACAATAATAATCACTATACTCTAAACACTAAGTTTCACACAAAGGCCTTAAAACATTGAGAGACAGAAAATTCAAACAGACTAATTTAATATAAGATTTATGTATGGTTACTTGAGGGTTAGGAAAATAAATTGGTTGTGGATCAGCACAGAGTCAGGTTTATAAGCCAGAAGAAACAAACAAAAAAAGTCAAATGGTGCAATGGAACTCCTTTCATGGGTACACTTTTCTTTGTGGGATAAAAATGAAAAAGCATTTAAAATTTTAAATGCCACGTGGGCACTTTAATTACAGTCATGTGAGAATCAATGTACACTAGACTTCAAAATCCATTTTGTCCACACATTTGATTACTGACAGTCCTGAAGGCTTTGTTCCTTCATCTTGCCTGCTCCCCTGTACCTATCTATAGTAAACACCACTGCCTATACTCAGCCAGTCTTGCCAAGAATAAATCTTCTAACTGGCCTTTTATTTCATTCCACTTCAGTTGAGCTTCTCAAGGATTACTTTCATACAACATAAATACTATGCCCTCCCCCTCAATGGCATCTTTTTATCTTTAAATTCTTTTAGGAAAGGGGGGGGCAACATGACACGGAAGAACACAGCTTGCAAAAGCTCCTCCATTATCCATGAGGGCAGCATTATTTTTCACTCATCTCCACAAGTGCATTACTAGACTTAAGGAAGTTATCTGTCTTCCCTCCACTCTCAGGTTCAATGTAAAATCACATATTTTACACTAGAGACTGAAGATGTGCCATTTAGAAACATGCATAAGGTTACAGGTTTGCAGAGAGAATGGGAGAAAGAAGGAAGGAGAAGAAAGAGAGAAGGAAGGGGATAGGTGGAGAGATACCAAAGAACAAAAAAAAGCATTACTTTATAACTTATCTTGGTATTTTTAAAAATCAGTGATCTCTGTTTTGAAACAGCACAAAAGGAAAAGGACCTGTGAGAAATCAATAGAAATTCTGACATTAGGAAGAGGCTAAGGTTGAGAAGTCTTTTCCTTACACACTGCTCTTTGTTGACAGAGAGTTACAGAGAATTTATATCTTCCTTTCAACAGAGCTATCAGCTCAAGGGTGGGAAGTGAATCCATGTCTTCAGGGAAGTTAACAGTAATGTTTGTTTGTTTAATATAACATCATACTAAGTTGGCTCTGAATTTGTTTTATATGCCAGGGAGGCCTTGATATTATGACTCTCCTGTTTCAGCCACAATCGCAGTAGTTTATATTATAGGACTCTGTTACAAGGCTTGGCTCTTTTAAGCCCTTTTTTTTTCTTTTACTGGATATTTTCTTTATTTATTTTTCAAACGTTATCCCCTTCCCAGGTCTCTCCTCTGGAACCCCCATCCCATCCCCCCTCCCTCTCCTTCTATGAGGGTACTCACCCACCAACCCACTCCCACTTTCCCGCCCTGGGATTCCCCTAACTGGGCCATCGAACCCCCTCAGGCCCAAGGGCTGCTCCTCCCACTGATGTCCAAGAAGGCCATCCTCTGCCACATATGCAGCCAGAGCCATGGGTCCCTCCATGGGTACTCTTTGGTTGGTGGTCCAGATCCCAGGAGGTCTGGGGGTCTGGCCTGTTGACACTGTTGCTCCCCCATGGAGCTGCAAACTCCCCTTAAGTCTTTTTTTCCTTCCTTATTAGATATTTTATTTACATTTCAGACGTTATCCTTTTTCCCCATCCCCTCATCCAGAAACCCCCTATCCCACCCCCCTCTTCCTGCTTCTATGAGAATGTGCACCCACCCACCCACTCTCACCTCCCCACCATCCAATTCCCCCACTCTGGGGCAGGCTCCACAGATACAAAGAGAACTTAAGGATAATAATATTATAGGCATTTAAGAGCAGACGAAGTACAGAAAGACAAGGCAATTATTCTTGCAGATCACTACTTAAGGTATCAGTGATGCCTTGAGAACAAATGAGAAGGCAATGTCTGGCAACAACTAATAAAAGAGATTCAAGAAGTTAAATGAAGATGATAATTTCTAGTTCCATCCATTTACCTAGGAACCTCTCGAATT